AAATTGAAAATAATTTAAAAAACTATCAAAAAGCATCTATATTGGAAGGAGTGCACTCATAAATGTCAAACTGTGAAATACTATTTAGACTGAAAAGATAATGACATGAATACATGTAAGGCATTATTAGTGCAATGGAAAATATTTCATTATAGGTGGACTGAAACTTCAGCTTCAGTGTGAACTAAGAACCAGTTCTCTGTCCAGAGTCTTGTTATTCAAGTGATCAGATGTGTTTTACTGTTCCTCTTTTATATACAAATTTCTTGGCCATATGTTAAATTTTAGTCTCCTACTGAAAGCATGAGCTTTTTCCCTCTTTACAGCTGGATAAATCTAGAGCTTGGTTCATATTTGAAAGTCTGGACTTTGTCCACAACAAAGATGTGACACAAATATCTTTCATATATGCATCTATATGTTTGATATGCAGACATACATGCTCACATATGTAAAAGTAAAATATATAGTATATACTGTGAGCTTCCAGTGTCATGATGGCTCTGAAGATGCTCTGAAAAGTATGAAATTCTATCCTGATGTGAGATGTTCTTGTAATACTATTTGATTTGTACATACATATACTACAGTGTTTGGGAGGAGGGTAGGAAAGAAGGGGGGTTTTAATATGCAAATCTGTAAATAACTTCCTCAACAGAGCAAGATTTTATCACTCCACCATGAAGGAGGAGAAATTATTGTGCTTTGCTGCTAATTACCCTAAGGTATTTGACTGTTTACAAAGAGTAAGTAAAAGTAAACAAATACTGACATTTCTAATACTGAGCAAATTCCTAATTTCTTGCTTTGTATTAGCAACTTTTTAATGTACCAAGTATCTCCAAAATACCTTAAAATTTGCAGAGTGCTTCACATACATGCTTTCATTTGGATTCCATAGTAATACCCACATTATTTTGTTTATTTCAAGAGAAATTATCTTATTAGAAAGTAGCAGGATTGTGACTCAAAACAACTTCTCTGGTTCCCTGTCATATGCTCTTATTTCCTAAAGGTTGCCTGTAGGTTTTTTTCTTTTGCTTTTTAATCCTAGAAAGCAATGGGACAGTATTTTTCATTTGTGCATTTATATTATAATAAAAGCCTATGTTCTAGGAATTATATTTTAGTACTCCTGCCAGTGAATTTAAAAATATTTATTTTAGATGTGGGAAAAATATAATCTTGCCTCTTAACTTGCTCAGGAAGAGAAAGGGGTCTATGACCGCTGACCCATAGTGACTATATTAATAAGCAGTAGATAGAAAGTGTAAAAGCAATACAGAATCTAAAGTTTTCATCTAAAGTCAGAGCAATTAGAATGATAGTATCTCACACTACTGAACACTTATTATATGCCTGGCACAATTTTAACTCCTTCAATTTTTTGAATTATTTAATTTTCAGGGTAATCAATGAAATAGATATTATTCCTGTCTAAACACAAAACACAAAGAAATGGCCACACAGAAACCATGATTCTTTAGGAGGCAAGGTTCTAATGGGAAAGTTAAACATTCTAGGACTACAAATGTAGAGGAAATAATGATTCAAAGACTGAAAATGGTTTTAAAAGAGGGGAAAGATTTCTCAGGTTTCACAAATTCTATCCACATATAAAAATTTAGTTATTCCCCTTTTATTGGGAATGATTGAAACCGTCCTTACTGTATAGTGAATTTTACAAGTAACCTCTATGATTATAGAACTATTTCATTAAAAATGTACAAAATAAATGTCTTCTGCTTCTCAAAATTAGGTGCTTTTCTGAGTATTGCATGAACCCTGTATCTTTACTATATCCACACTGTCAAGCACCCATTTTTAAAAATAACATTTGAGAGGTAGGATGATAATGGGTTTTAGGGTCCAAACAACTTTTCAAACTCACCCAACACCATGAAGTGCTCATATTCTACAAAGGAACACCTTGCAGACATTGTATTATACACACACCTGTACACAAGGACACAAAGGCACACACACAACATTTGAAGGAATGTGCCCGAAGGTTTCTCTACCTACAATTCTGTTTCTTGCCGAGGATGGAAAGAAAGTTGATGGATCATCAATGAGGAAGAGCTCTTGACGATGTCTGCTGAACTGGGCAGCGAAATATTCAGGATGAGGATACTTCACACTCGCTGGAAGTTTCACAGCCGAAAGCATATAGGTCAATGGAGTGTCCTCATTTTGGGGAACATCACTCTCCTTAATAGGCATTTTGATTCCAATACTTCAGCATAAGTAACTAATACCTCCCAAGGGAGCATGGATCTTGACAAAGTAAGTCCTTCCATCTTCAGAGTCTGCATTGTAAAAAGAGGAAAAAGAACACAAAGCTTCCTGAAATATTTGTTATTGAGATGATTGAGGAAAAGAAATACAATTTTACAAATCTCAAACAGGTACAAGTATTTTCAGTTAATTGAAATTTTTCAGCAAACTTTTAGAACCAAATTCTCAAAAACGTATGCTTACATAAACAGGGCATAGGTACATATAATAATATGTATATGTGTGCCTGTGTGTGTGTATGTATGAAGGAGAAACAGAAAGAGAGAGAGAAATTCATGAGACTCCAAGGTGGCAGAAGGGAACAATGTGCTGTGCTAGGATAGGGATCAATTAGCAAAACAAACAAACAAAAATAGCGTAGGAAGTGTGCTGTAATGGGAGAATCAGAGACACAAAAATGGAGTTTCTACAGAGGGAAGAGGAATGCCATGGGCCTATGTGGAAGCTGCAGGCACACAGCATGAAAAGGGAAACAACACACTAAGCAGCCAAGAGTCAGAGTGGGTAGCAGCTTAGAGATGGAGGTGAGACCAAACCTGCGATAACCTGTATTGATATAGTCAGAAGACGAGCAATGGTTGTGAGTCTGGCCTGGAGACCTAAGGTACTTGCAGACCCAGCAGAAGTAAAAGGGGCACATTTACTCTTATCCCATCTTCTCTACAAAAGTGGTCAGCACCCAGCTGGAAAAGGGAAGTGACATTTTGGGCTCCAGCCGAAGCCATGGAAGCCTTTGTGTGTATGTATATCAACTGGCTGTGAAGGATACCACTTAAATTGATCAAAGAACTAAATCTACAACTCATACAATCAACTCATTAATGAACATTAGAGAAACTCTGCAAGACATTGGGATATGCAAGACTTCTTGGAAAAGACCTCACAGCACAGCCAATCAAAGCCAAAATTGACAAATGGGATTCCATCAAGAAGCTATACAATGCAAAAGAAACACTCGGCAAAGTGAAGAGGCAACCAACAGAATGTGAGAAGATATTTGCAAACTACACAACTAATAAAGGGTTAATATCCAGAATCTATAAAGAGCTCAAGAAATTTAAAACAAAATAAAACAAACAATCCATTTAAGAAATGGGCCAAAGACTTTGATAGGCATTTTTCAACAGAGGAAATTCACATGGCCAATAAACACTTGAGAAAATGCTCAGGATCACTAGCCATCGAGGAAATGCAAATCAAAACCACAATAAGGTTTAGCCTCACTCCAGTTAGAATGGCCATGAAACAGAAATAACAAATGAAAAAAGCTGGTGAGGATGTGGGGAAAAAGATATCTTGGTCCACCATTGGTGGGAATGTAAACTGGTTGTAACCACTGTGAAAGACAGCATGGAGCTACCTCAGAAATCTGGAGACCAAGACCTAGTGAATGAGTGGAGCTCATGAACTGGGACTGTGAAAAAAGGAAAAAAAAAATGAGAGTGTGTGAGAGAACTCACAGTGTGGCTGAGATGTGAGTACTCTCAGTGGGAGACGCCACAAACTCGAGCGGCCTTGGCTACTCAGTGAGAGACACTGCAGGAGGATCTGAGCTTACACTGAGGACTGCAGAGATCCTTTGTGTGATCCTTGGTACAGAGCAGACGAATATTATTCCCATTGGGGCTAGTGCTCAGGCACTGATCGCCATCGAGAAGAAGAGCTCAGCTGAGTGGAATTACTTCCCTTCTGATTAAAAACAGAGAGAGAGAGAGAGAGAGAGAGAGAGAGAGAGAGATATTTATCACACCCAACCTGGGTTTGTCACCTTAAGCACACCCTTAACCCTGAAGAACTGAACAGAGCTCTCTGGCCAAACCCACCACAAGACTCTAGAGAGTCACTGAAAGCAGACAGTCCCCTTTTTATCTTAAGAGTCATAATAAAATGAAAAAAGTAGCCACAGTGGAAAAAAAAGAAAATAACGAGTATCTCCACAAATAGCAAACAACAAATGCAACAACTGAGGGGACAAGAACAAGGAAGACAACATGACGCTCCCAAAAGAACATGATAATTAATACAAGATTATGAAGACAATGAGATAGAAGAAATGAAAGAAATAGAACTCAAAAAAATTTATGATAAGAATATATAGAAGTAATCAAAACAAATGCATGAGGGCCTGCACCGTGGCTCACTTGGTTAATCCTCTGCCTGTGGTGCCAGCATCACATAAGGGTGCTGGCTTCTAGTCTCTGTTGCTCCTCTTCCATGCCAACTCTCTGCTGTGGCCCTGGAAAGCAGTGGAGGATGGCCCAAGTGCTTAGGTGCCTGCACCTGTGTCGGAGACCAGGAAGAAGTACCTGGCTCCTGACTTCAGATCTGTGTAGCTCTGTTCACGGCAGACATTTGGGGGGTGAACCAATGGAAGGAAGACCTTTCTCTCTGTATCTCTCACTGTCTCATTCTATCTGTCAAATAATAAATAAATAAAAAGAATCATTAAAAAAAAATGCATGAAATACTGAAATCCATGCGGGACATGAAAGAAATCTCTCTTATGAAAATGAAATCTTAAGGAGGAATCAAAATGGAATGAGGAATTCAATAGAACAAATAAAAAACACAGTTGAGAACCTTAAAACAGAATCAGTGTGGCAGAAGAGAGAATATCGGACTTAGAAGACAGAGCACAGGAAAGCATACAGTCAAACCAAAGAAAAGAAGAGGAAATTAGAAATCTAAAAAATATGGTTGGGAATCTACAGGATACTATTAAAAAACCCAACATTCAGGTTTTAGACGTTCTGAAGGCATGGAGAGAGAGAAAGGAGTAGAAGGCCTTTTTAGAGAGATACAAGCAGAAAAATTCCCGTCTTTGGAGAAATAAAAAGACATCCAAGTACAGGGAGCACACAGAACTCCCATTAAACATGACCAGAAGAGATCCTTGCCATGACACATTGTAATCAAACTCACCACAATGAAACATAAAGAAAAGATTCTAAAATGTACAAGAGAGAAATTACTCTCAGAGGATCTCCAATGAGACTCACAGCAGACTTATCAAACCCTACAGGACAGGAGGGAATGGTGAGACATAGCCCAAGTACTAAGAGAAAAAAACTGCCAGAATATTATATCCTGCAAAGCTCTCATTGTGAATGAAGGTGAAATAAAGACCTTTCATAGCAAACAGAAATTGAAAGAATTTGTCACCACTCATCCAGCCCTGCAAAAGATGCTTAAAGATGTGTTACACACAGAAACATGGTCATCATATGAAAGAAGGTAAAGGAAGAAAATCTCTCAGTAAAAGATCACAAGTTCAAAGCATATATTAGAAATACATTTGGAAAAGTGGCAGGGAAAAGTCACTACTTATCAATAGTCGCATTGGATATAAATGGCCTCAACTCTCCAGTTAAAAGACACAGACTGGATGAATGGATTAAGGAACAAAACCCATCTATTTTTTGCCTACAAGAAATACATCTTTCCTAGAAAAGTGCATGCAGACTGAAAGTCAAAGGGTGGAAAAAGATATTCCACGCCAACAGAAACCAAAAAAGAGCTGGTATGGCCATATTAATATCAGAAAAAATAAATTGTAACACTAGCACTGTTAAGAGAGACAAAGAAGGGCACTATATAATGATTAAAGGATCAATTCAACAGGAAGATGTAACTATTATAAACCTGTATGGACATAATAATAGGGCACCGGTTATTTAAAAGATATGCTAAGGACCTTAAAGGGAGACTTAGACTCCAATACAATATCATTGGGGGACTTCAATACTCCACTTTCAGCTAAGGACAGATCAACTAAACAGAAAATCAGCAAGGAAACAGCAGATTTAATTGACACTATAGCCTAAATGGATCTAACAGATATCTACACTTGAAGAATACACATTCTTCTCAGCAGTACATGGAACCTACTCTAGGATTGACTAGGCCATAAAGCAAGTCTCAGCTAATTCCAAAGAATCGAAATCATACCATGCAGTTTTCTTAGAGGACAATGGAATGAAGCTGGAACTTAGCAACTCAGGAATCCTTAGAGCATATGCAAACACATGGAGACCGAACAATATGCTCCTGAATGAAGAACAGGTCACAGAAGAAATCAAAAGAGAAATCAAAAACTTTCTGGAAGCAAATGAAGATAACACAACATATCAAAACTTACGGGATACAGCAAAAGCAGTGTTAAGAGGAAAGTTTATAGCAATAGGTGCCTATATCAAAAAACTGGAAAGGCACCAAATAAATGAGCTATCAATGCATCTCAAGGATCTAGAAAAGCTGCAGCAAACCAGACGCAAAACTAGTGGGAGAAGAGAAATAATTACAATTACAGAAGAAATCAACAGAATTGAGTATGAAAAAAAAACATTACAAAAGATCAGCCAAATGAAGAGTGAGTTTTTTGAAAAAATAAACAGTTGACACTCCATGGACACAACTAATTAAAAAAAAGGAGAGAGAAGTACCAAATAAATAAAATCAAATATGAAAAAGGGACTGTAACAACAAACACCAGAAATTACTACAAAGAGTTGTATGCCAGCAAACAGGGAAATCTATCAGATATGTTAGATTACTGGACAAATACAACATACCTAAATTGAACTATGAAGACAACCTAAACAGACCCACAATTGAGACAGAAATTGAATCAGTAATAAAGGCCATCCTGGCCTGCGCCGCAGCTCATTTGGCTAGTCCTCTGCCTGCAGCGCCTGCACCCCAGGTTCTAGTCCAGGTTGGGGCACCGGATTCTGTCCCAGTTGCTTCTCTTCCAGTCCAGCTCTCCTCTAGCCCTGGAAGGCAGTGGAGCACAGCCCAAGTGCATGGGCCATGTACCCATATGGGAGATGAAGAGGAAGCACCAGGCTCCTGTCTTCGATCAAGCAGTGAGCCAGCCGCAGTGACCAGCCGTAGCTGCCATTTCAGGGGTGAACCAATGGAAAGAAGACCTTTCTTTCTGTCTCTCTCTCTCTCACTGTCTAACTCTGCCTGCTAAAAAAAAAATAATTTTAAAGGTACCTCTCAACAAAGAAAAGCCCAGGACCAGAGGCTTCAATGCTGAATTCTGCCAGACATTTAAAGGAGAACTAATTCCAATTCTTCTCTAACTATTCAGAACAACTGAAAGAGAGGGAATCCTCCAAAATGCTTTTTATGAGCATCACCTTAACCTAAACTTGAAAAGGATGCAGCAGAGAAGGATAATTACAGACCAATTTCCCTGATGAACATAGACGCAAAATCCTCAATAAAATTCTGACCAATACAATGCAACAACACATCAGAAAGATCATCCACCCAGACCAAGTGGGATTTATCCCTGGTATGCAGGGATGGTTCAATGTTTGCAAATCAATCAATGTGATACACCACATTAACAGACTGCAGAAGAAAAACAATATGATTATTTCAATAGATGCAGAGAAAGCATCTGAGAAAATTCAACACCCTTTCATGATGAAAACTCTAAGCAAACTGGGTATAGAAGGAACAATCCTCAATGCAATCAATGCAATTTATGAAAAAATCATGGCCAGCATACTATTGAATGGGGAAAAGTTGGAAGCTTTCCACTGAGATCTGGTACCAGACAGGGATGCCCACTCTCACCACTGCTATTCAATATAGTTCTGGAAGTTTTAGCCAGCGCCATTAGGCAAGAAAAAGAAATTAAAGGGATACAAGTTGGAAAGGAAGAATTCAAACTATGCTTCTTTACCGATGATATGATCCTTTAGGGGATCCAAAGTACGCTGAAGCAAGACCCCTACCTTACACCTTACACAAAAATACACTCAACATGGATTAAAGAGCTAATTCTACGATCCGATACCATCAAATTATTAGAGAACATTGAGAAACCCTACAAGATAAAGGCACAGGAAAAGACTTCTTGGAAAAGACCCCAGAGGCACAGGCTGTCAAAGCCAGAATTAACAACTGGGATTACATCAAATTGAGAAGTTTCTGTACCGCAAAAGAAATAGTCAGCAATGTGAAAAGGCAATGGACAGAGTGGGAAAAAATATGTGCAAACTATGCAACTGATAAAGGATTAATAACAGAATCTAAAAAGAGATCAAGAAACTCCACAACAAAAAAAAACTAACAATCCACTTAAGAGATTGGACCAGGACCTAAATAGACATTTCTTTTTTTATATAAATTTATTTTTTATTTGAGAGTGAGAGTTACACAGAGAGAGGAGAGGCAGAGAGAGAGAGAGGAATTCCTTCCGATTGTTTACTCCCAAATTGGCTGGAAGAGGCAACAGCCGGAACTGCGCTAGACATTTTTCAAAAGAGGAAATCCAAATGTCCAACAGACACATAAAAAATATTCAGGATCACTAGCAATCAGGGAAATGCAAATCAAAACCACAAGTTCACCTCACCCCAGTTAGAATGGCTTAAATATAGAAATCAAGAAACAACAGGTGCTGGCGAGGATGTGGGGAAAAAGGGACACTAACCCACTGTTGGTGGGAATGCAAACTGGTAAAGCCACTATGTGAGTCAGTTTGGAGATTTCTCAGAAACCTGAATATAGCCCTTCCACATGATCCAGCCATCCCACTCCTTGGAATTTACCCAAAGGAAATTAACTTGGCAAATAAAAGAGCTGTCTTCACCTCAATGTTTATTGTAACTCAATTCACAATAGCTAAGACCTGGAATCAACCTAAATGCCCATCCACAGAAGACTAGATAAAGAAATTATGGGATATGTGCTCTACAGAATACTAAAGAGCACTAAAAAAATGAAATCCAGTCATTTGCAACAAGATGGTGGAATTTGGAAAACATCATGCTGAGTGAATTAAGCCAGTCCCAAAGGGACATATATCATAGGTTCTCCCTGATCTGTGACAACTAACTGAGCACCTAAAAGGAAACCTGTAGAAGGGAAATGGACACTATGAGAAACAATGACTTGATCAGCCCTTGTCCTAACTGTCGAGGAACAACTTAATACTCTATCCCTTTTAGTATGTTTTTCTAATTAATATTATTGGTTGAACTCTTTGATTAACACATAATTATTCTTAGGTGTTTAAATTTAACTGAAAAGTGGCCCCTGTTAAATATAAGAGTGGGACTGAGAGAGGGACGACCAGTACAGTTCGGCACATGCTCTCTCAGACTTACTCCTAATGGTAGAGCTAGAAACATGCCAGGGGATTCCAACTCAATCCCATCAAGCTGGCATGTACCAATGCCATCTCACTAGTCAAAGTAATCAGTTTAAGTTCATAATTGATCATAATGATAGGATTAAGTGTCAAAGGATCACATAAACAAGACCAGTGTCTGCGAATACTGATAGAATTAAAAAGGAGAAAACAATCCAACATGGGAAGCAGGCTACACAGCAGAATCATAGAATGAAAGGTGTCCTAAACAGCATTCTGGCCTCAGAATCAGCCCTTAAGGCATTTGGATCTGGCTAAGAAACCCATCAGAGTTTCTCAGGCATGGAAAGGCAAGACACTCTGGCAAAAAAAAAAAAAAAAAACAACAACCACCCTAAATGAAAGATCTCTGTGAGTGAGATCCCACTTGCCACTTATGTGGAAGACTTGGACTGTGTTGATATAGCCAGAGGAAGACCATGGTGTGAGTCTGGCCTGGATTGTGGTCTGGATTATCTGGCTTCATTGCGGATAAGAGTGCTCTATCTCAAACAATATTTAAATAAATAAAAATTTTACAAAATAAGATTCAGGTATAAATATATATTGAAACTTACCCTCTTGTCTTCAATTTCCAATTCAAGACCTGATTTTCGGAGATTTTGCTCAAATTCTTTTCTTCTTTCCTTTAGCAAAACAAACAGAATTATGCAGAATACTTTTATTCTTATTTGTTCAATGAGAGACTTGGTACACGATGGCCAAACTTCTAAGTGTTCTGTGTCCCACCCCAGTTATTTTAAAAAGGCCTCCGTGTATTACGTCAAACTTAATGTCATGTACTGTTTTCCATCTGTACAATAATTCCCAATAATCATAAAAATCCAATATATCCTATAATCTCTGGGAAATATGCAGCAGAACTTTTAATGGAAGACATATAAAAACTTTACTGAATAAAATACTGCTTTTTAAATAAAAGCTTTACAATAAGACAAATATATCATGCTGTTATTTGGGATGACTCAGTATTACAAAGTTCAATACTCTGCAAATAAATTATATATTTAATTCAACTTTAAGCCAAAATGTCAATATGACTTTTTAATCTTGAAGGATAGAATGGCTTCACACAGAGAAAAATCAAATTAAACTATAGGTCATTAGTTCACATAATCAAATTATGTAGACTCAAAAACAATTCACTGATCATCAATATTTTTGCTTTAACTGTGAGTAAAGTATAACAAAATACACACTAAAATTTTAAAATACTTAATTACAGTATCTTCAAACACTAATCTTCAAATAGGCATGTCTTGAGTATGTATAATATGTTTTTTAAAAAGCTAGGAGAGAGGATTTTGAATGTTTTCACCAAAATGAGGGTAGATATTGAACACTGTACAATATAGGCCTGTATCAGGGCCTGCGCTGTGACACAGCAGGTTAAAGCCCTGGCCTGCAGCAATGGCATCCCATACGGGTGCCGGTTCTTGTCCCAGCTGCTCCTCTTCTGATCCAGCTCTCTGCTATGGCCTGGGAAAGAAATAGAAGCTACCCAAGTCCAAATGACATAAAGAGAAGATTCTAAAATGTGCATGAGAGAAATGCCAGATTACTTTCAGGGGATCTCCAATTAGACTCACAGCAGACTTCTCATCAGAAACACTACAGGCTAGGAGAGAGTGGTAAGATATAGTCCAAGATTAACAGAAAAAGAAAAAACTGTCATCCCAGAATATTATACCCTGCAAAGCTCTCATTTATGAATGAATGTGAAATAAAGAATTTCCATAACAAATAGAAATTGAGGGGACAGCTCTGTGGTGTAGCAGCCGCCTGCAGTGCTGGCATCCCGGACATTGTTTCCAGACCCAGTTGCTCCACTTCTGATCCAGCTCTCTGCTATGCCTGGGAAAGCAGCAGAAGATGGCCCAAGTGCTTGGGCCCCTGCACCCACATGGGAGACCTGGAAGAAGCTCCTGGCTCCTGGCCTCGGATCATCACAGTTCTGCCTGTTGTGGCCAATTGGAAATGAACAAGCTGATGGTAGACCTCTCTCTGTCTCTCCTATCTCTGTGTTACTCTGGTTTTCAAATAAATCAATAAATCTTTTAAAACAAAAAATGAAATGGAAAGAATTTGCCATCACCCATCTAGCCCTACAAAAGATGCTTACTGATGTGCTGCACACAGAAACATGGTCATCACTACAAAAGAAGGTAAAGGAATAAAATCTCTCAGTAAAAGATCAAAGGAAGTTCAAAGTAAAAATTAGGAATATTTTTGGAAAAATAGCAGGGCAAAGTCATTACTTATCAATACTCCCCTTGATTGTAAACGGCCTCAACTCCATAGTCAAAAGACTAGACTTGCCAGCACCGCAATTCACTAGGCTAATCCTCCGCCTGCGGCGCCAGCACACCGGGTTCTAGTCCCAGTCGGGGTGCTGGATCTGTCCCTGTTGCTCCTCTTCCAGTTCAGCTCTCTGCTGTGGCCCGGGAGTACAGTGGAGGATGGCCCAAGGGCTTGGGTCCCTGCACCCACATGGAAGACCAGGAGGAGCACCTGGCTCCTGGCTTCAAATCGGCACAACGTGCAGCCATAGCGGCCATTTGGGGGTGAACCAAAGGAAAAGGAAGACCTTTCTCTCTGTCTCTCTCACTAACTCTGTCTTTCAAAAAATAATAATAATAATAATAATAATAAAATTTAAAAAAAGACCAGACTGGCTGACTGGATTAAAAAATAAAACCCATGTATTTTCTGCCTATAAGAAACATATCTCACCAACAAAGATATATGCAGACTGAAAGTGAAAGGATGAAAGAAGATATTCCTTGCCAAAAGAAACCAAAAAAGAGCTGGTATAGCCATCTTAATATCAGAAAAATATTAACTTTAACAGAAAAACTGCTAAAAGAGTCAAAGAAGGGTACTATATAATGTTTAAGGGATCAAATCAACAGGGAGATGTAACTATTATAAACGTGTATGCACCTAATTACAGGGAACCTGGCCAATTAAAAGAAATATTAAGAGATTTAAAGGGAGACTTATACTCAAATACAATAGTATTGGAGGACTGCAAAGCTCCACTTTCAGCAATGGACAGATCAACCAGATGGAAAATCAACAAGAACACAGCAGAATTAATCTAACTATAGACCAAATGGAACTAACAGATAACTACAGAACTTTTCACCCTACAATTCCAGAATACACATTCTTCTCAGCAGTGCATGGATCTTTCTCTAGGATTGACCATATACTAGGCCATAAGCAAGTTTCAGCAAATTCAAAAACTGAATCATACCATGAATCTTATTGGACCACAATGGAATGAGGTTGGAAATCAGGAAGTCAGGAATTTCTAGAGCATATGCAAATGCATGGAGACTGAAAAACATGCTCCTGAATGAGAAGTGGGTCATAGAAGACATAAAAAAAAATAAAAAAATTTCTGGAAATGAATGCAGATGACAACAAAACATATCAAAACTTCCATGATACAGCAAAAGCAGTGAAAAGAAGAATGTTTATAGCAATAGGTGTCAACAGCAAGAAATTGGAGGTCAGTGCTGTTGCTCAGTCAGTTAAAGTCCTGGCCTGAAGCGCCAACATCCCATATGGATGCCAGTTCAAGACCCAACTGCTCATCTTCTGATACAACTCTCTGCTATGGCCTGGAAAAGCAGTGGAGGATGGCCCAAATACTTGGGCCCCTGTACCCACATGGGAGACCTGGAAGAAGCTCCTGGCTCCTGGTTTTGGATCAGTGCAGCTCTGGCAGTTGCTGCCATCTGAGGATTGAACCAGCGGATAGAAGACCTCTCTCCTGTCTCTACCTCTCTGAAACTTTTCAATTAAATAATATAAATCTTTAAAAAAATTGCAAAAGCACCAAATAAATGAGCTATTGATGCATCTCAAGGATCTAGAAAAACAAGAATAAACCAAGGCCAAAACTACTAGGAGAAAAGAAATAATTAAAATTAGAGAAGAAATCAACAAAATTGAATCCAAAAAAAAAACATAACAAAAGATCAGCAAAAGGAAGAGCTGGTTTTTTGAAAAATAAACAAAAGTGACACACCAGTGGCCTAATTAACCAAAAAGACGACAGAGAAGAACAAAATCAGTAAAATTAGAGATTAAAAAGGAAATGTAACAATAGACACCAAAGAAATAAAAAGAATCATCAAAAATTATTACAAAGAGCTATATGCCAAGAAGAAATAGATTCATGGACACATACAATCTACCTAAATTGAGCCATAAAGACATAGAAAACCTAAATAGACCCATAACACAGGCAAACAAAGAAAAGCCCAGGACTGGATGGCTTCAATGCTGAATTCTACCAGACATTTAAGAAGAACAAATTCCAATTCCTCTCAAGTTATTCAGAACAACTGAAAGAGAGGGAATCCTCCCAAATTCTTTCTACAAAGCCAACATCACCTTCATTCATAAACCTGAAAAAGACGCAACCGAGAAAGAGAATTACAAACCAATTTCCCTGATAAACGTAGACACAAAAATCCTCAACAAAATTCTAGCCAATCAAATCCAACAACACATGAAAAGATCACCCACCCAGACCAAATGGGATTTATCCCTGGTATGCGGGGATGATTCAACATTCGCAAATCAATCAATGTGATACACCACATTAACAAACTGCTGAAAAAGAAAAACCCCACATGATTATCTCAACAGATGCAGAGTAAGCATTTGACAAAATACAATTTCTTTTCATGATGAAAACTCTAAGCAAATTGGGTATAGAAATAACATTCCTCAATACAATCAAAGCAATTTATGAAAAACCCACAGCCAACATTCTATTAAATGGGGAAACGTTGGAAGCATTCCCAGTGAGATCTGGTACCAGACAGGGATGGCAACTCTCACTACTGCTATTCAATATAGTACTAGAAGTTTTTTGCCAGATCCATTAGGCAAGAAAATGAAATCAAAGGGATGCAAATTGGGAAGAAGGAAGTCAAACTATCCCTCTTTGCATAAGACATGATTCTTTATATAGAGGATACAAAAACTCCACTAAGGGGCTATTGGAACTCATAGAAGAGTTTAGTAAAGTAGCAAGATATAAAATCAGTATACAAAAATCAACAGCCTTTGTATACACAGACAATGCCACAGCTGAGAATGAACTTCAAGATTAATCACATTCACAATAGTTACAAAAACCATCAAATACTTTGGAATAAACTTACCCAATGAAGTTAAAGATCTCTACAATGAGAATTACAAAACCTTAAAGAAATAGAAGAAGACACAAAAAGAAAAATGGAAAATTCTTCCATGTTCATGGATTGGAGGAATGAATATCATCAAAATGTCCAATCTCCCAAAAGCAAGGTACAGATTCAATGTGATATCAATCAAAACACCAAAGACATTCTTCTCAGATTTAGAAAAAATGGTGCTGAAATTCATATGGAGACACAGGAGACCTCGAATAGCTAAAGCAATTTTACACAACAAATCAAAGCCGGAAGCATCACAATACCAGATTTTAAGACATACTACAGGGCAGTTATAATCAAAACAGCCTGGGACTTGTACAAAAACAGATGGATAAACCAATGGAACAGAGCAGAAATCAATCCAAACATCTACAGCCAACTTATAATATTTGATCAAGGAGCTAAAACCAATTCCTGGAGTAAGGACAGTCTATTCTACAAATGGTGCTGGGAAAACTAGATTCCCACATGCAGAAGAATGAAGCAAGACCCCTACCTTACACCTTACACAAATATTCACTCAACATGGATTAAAGATCTAAGCCTACGTCCTAACACCATCAAATTATTAGAGAACATTGGAGAATTCCTGCAAGATATTGGCACAAAGACTTCTTGGAAAAGACCCGAGAGGCACAGGCAGCCAAAGCCAAAATTAACAACTAGGATTACATCAAATTGAGAAGTTTCTGAAAGGCAAAAGGAACAGTCAGGAAAGTGAAGAGGCAAACGACAGAATGGGAGAAATTATTCACAAACTATGCAACTGATAAAGGATTAATATTCAGAATCTAAAAAGAGATCAAAAACTCCACAACAACAAAACAAACAACCCACTTAAGAGAAGGGCCAAGGACTTAGACAGACATTTTTCTTTTTTTTTTTAAGAATTATTTATTTATTCAAAAGTCAGGGATATACAGAGAGAAGAGAGGCAGAGAGGCAGATAGAGAGTGATCTTCCATCCAATGGTTTACTCTCCAGATGGCCGCAATGCCCAGAGTGGCACTGATCTGAAGCCAGGAGCCAGCAGCTTCTTTCGGGTCTCCCACATGGGTGCAGGGGCCCAAGGACTTGGGCCATCTTCTACTGCTATCCTAGGCCACAGCAGAGAGCTGCATTGGAAGAGGAGCAGCCGGGGCTAGAACACGCACCCATATGGGATGCCAGCACTTCAGGCCGGGGTGTTTACCTGCTCTGCCACAGTGCCGGCCCCATTAAACAGACATTTTTCAAAGAGGAAATCCAAATGGCCAACAGACACATGCAAAAATGTTCAGGATCACTAACCATCAGGGAAATGCAAATCAAAACCACAATGAGTTTTCACCTCACCCCAGCTAGAATGGCTTTCACACAGAAATCAACAAACAACAAATGCTGGTGAGGATGTAGGGAAAAAGGTTGTTGGTGGGAATGAAAACTGGTAAAGCTAGCATGGAAGACAATTTGGAGGTATGTCAGAAATCTGAATATAGTCCTACCATAGGACCCAGCCATCCCACCCTTTGTAATTTTCCCAAAGGAAATAAAATCGGCAAATAAAAGAGCTATCTGCAGCTTCATGTTTATTGCAGCTCAATTCACGATAGCTAAAACATGGAATCAACCTAAATGCCAGTCAACAGAAGACTGGATAAAGAAATTATGGGATATGTACTAATGGAATACTACATAGTGGTAAAAAAAAAATGAAATCCGGACATTGGCAACAAAATTGATGAATCTGAAAAAATCATACTTAGTGAAATAAACCAGTCCCAAACAGACAAATATCATATGTTCCCCCTGATCTGTGACAACTAGTAGAGCACCTAAAAGGAAACATCTAGGAGTGAAATTTACACTATGAGGAACAAATATTTGAATAGCCCTTGTCTTGAGTTTAGAGGATCAGTTTATTATTTTAGTTTTTTTACTCTTTTCTTTTTCTACTTAATATCATTGGTTGAACACTTTACTTAACACAGAATTACTCATAAGTCTTTAAATCCAATTGAAAATTGATCACAGTAAAAAATAAGAGCCCAAATAAGAGAGGGAGGAGATGTACAGTTCGGCAGACGTTCCCTCGGACTTACCCCTAAGGGTAAAGCTAAAAATTTTGCCATGGGACTCCTAATTCCATTAAAGTGGGTGCTAATGCCATCTTACTAGTTAAAGCGATCATTTTAAGCGTGTAACATATATATAGGAATAAGTGTCAAAAAAATCACATAAATAAGACCAAGTGTCTGCTAATAACAACAGGTGGAATTAAAAAGGAGAGAACGATGCAACATGGGAAGCAGGCCACACAGCAGACTCAGAGAATGACAAACACCCTAAACATCACTCTGGCCTCGGAATCAGCCCTTAAGGCATTCAGATCTGGCTAAAAAGCCCATGAAAGCATTTCAGGCATGGAAAGCCAATACACTCTGGCAAAGAATGATCTACATGAAGGATCTCTATGAGTGAGATCCCAGTGGAAAGAAGGGTCCGTCAAAGAAGAGGTACCTTTCTCCAAAGGGAGGATAGAACTTCCATTTGATTATGGCCCTGTCTAAATACTGATGGAGTTTGTGGACTCAAGAGGCTTCCATAGCCTTGGCGGCTCATAAGAGCATCAGGTGATCACTGACATCATGAATAAGAGTTTCAATTGTTAAATCAACAAGAGTCACCGTGCACTTGCTCCCCATGTAGGACCTCTGTCCTTAATGAGCTGTTCTATGATAATTAACAGTAAAACTTGTCTTCAAACAGTATTTATACTTTGTGTGTCTGTGTCTGTTGAAATCTTTACTTAGTAAAGAGTTGGTCTTCTGTATAAAAAGATAATTAAACATGAATCTTAATGAAGAATGGAATGGGAGATGGAGCAGAAGGTGGGATGGGAGTGGAAGTGTGAGGGTGGGTATGGGGAAGAATTCCTAAAGCTGTACCTATGAAATTAATATTTATTAAGTAAAAGCTTTCTAAAAAATAAATAAAAGTGAACAAAGAATATCAGCTTTGAAAGTGTCAATTGCCATAATGAAAATAAAATAGGATCATAATTACAATATAATACAAAGTCCACTGCAGATTGGATAAATTCATCCTACAATTTCAAAATAGTATTTTCACTGAAAAGATTTTTATTATTTTCAAAAACTCCCGCAATTTGGTGGCCACACTTAATATCTAATGTGAGCTGTCTAAAATACCTCAGCTTCTTGGAGGAGAAGTAAAAGGACTTTGTCTCTAAAACATCCAGTAAATTTAATTGGCATCACACATTCATTACTCGGCTGCCTATTTTGTAGTCTTTTCACTCAGTTTCAGCTTTCAATAACACTTCGGAAGTCTCTGACTTTTTACAACGTAATTCAATGTGAATATCCACATCAAAATATAGAATATACTTCTTTTTGTTATTCTTGTGTTTCTCACATAGGCACTTACCGCTTTTATTTCTGCATCTTCCCTTAAGTCATCAACATAGGAAAGTACAAAATCAATTTGCCTAATCCCATCTCGGAAGAAGATAGAATCTTTGCTTTGCTCATTTTTTTTGAAACTGTAGGAGACATAAATGGCACAATTTTAAATTCTATTTTTATTCTCAAGTGGCAAAAAACATGGAAATGATTACCTAATATTTGTTTTCTTAAAGATTTATTTCATTTCTTTAAAAAGCAGACTGACAGAGAGAGTGAGCAAGAGGGAGAGAGACACAGAGAGAAAAAGATCTTCTCTCTACTGCTTTACTCCCTAAATGGTTGCAACAGCCCAGGCTGGGTCAGGTCAAATCCAAGAGCCTGGAACTCCATTTAGATTTTCCACGTGGGTGGTAGAGATCCAAGTATTTGGACCACCTTCTTGCTGCCTTTCCAGGATCTTTAGCAAGAAGCTGGATCAGAAGTGAAACAGCCAGGATTCATTGCTCCAATAGGGAATTACAGCATTGTGAACAGTGGCTTAAACTGCTGTTCCACAATGCAGGCTCGATTATCTAAAATTTGGTCACCAATAAAACAAAATAAACATGCAGTTAAAGATTAGAAAGCTGGGAGCCTGCTAGTTGGTCTTATAGCAAGTAAATACTCATGCAAATTAATCTTTAACACTGATTTCTCATGTGAAACAAAATCAATCCTGTGTTTAAATCTATACAAATTCGCTTGCTTTAATAACTAAACTTAAAACTTTAAATTTCATATGCTGTGTTGCCTGTTAATTATTTCTCTTTCAAAATAGCAAAAACACTAGAGAACTCCTAAAAGAATTTTATGTGTGGCTGATTTGGCTTTTCACAGTTAATATAAAATATGTAATACTTAATATTATTATATTATATTATATATAATATATTATATAATATAATATATATAATATATTATAATATATTATAATATAATTATATGTTATATAATTATATAATATTAATTATATATTAATTATATTAATTAATTGATTAATATTAATTATATATAATTAATAATATATTATAATAAGATATATAATTATTATATAATATAATTATATTATATAATAAAATATATTTATAAAAATTATATGATATAATAAAATATTATATAATAATATTTTATTATATATTGTATAATATATATTATATTATAATATAATATATTATATATATTATATATAATAGCCTAAGTGTGGCACATAGAATTACAGAAATAGATGATTTATTGGATGTCAATGAGGCACCTTTCCAATTGCTTTAGCTAACCCATGAATAGGAAGTTCGATGATTTTAATCTTCACAACTGGTATTTCTTTTCTTCTTCTTCTTCTTTTTTTTTTTTTTTTGACAGGCAGAGTGGACAGTGAGAGAGACAGAGAGAAAGGTCTTCCTTTTCCGTTGGTTCACTCCCCAACGGCCACTGCGGCTGGCATGCTGCAGCGGGCACACCGCACTGATCCAAAGCCAGGAGCCAGGTGCTCCTCCTGGTCTCCTATGTGGGTGCAGGGCCCAAGGACTTAGGCCATCCTCTAATGCACTCCTGGGCCACAGCAGAGAGCTGGACTGGAAGAGGAGCAACCAGGCACAACTGGTATTTCTAATAGTTTATGTCTGTAAGTATTGTTTTATAGTATTCTATACCATTTTTCACCTAAGTCAGGCCAGATGGATCTCCCATAAAAGACAGCGGATGTAAGTCAGTCAGGTATGAATAAGTTAGGAAGCTCATGTTCAATTTGTGGTCATGTTCAATTTGTGGTATTTTATATCTATGTAACAGCTATTATTACATATAAGTTTGATTGAAAATCACTTTGGAAAAGAAAAGGAAACAAAGCAAAACCAACAAAACCATTCATTCTTGTAAGTCATCATAGTATTAGCTTATCTTATGAAATTCATCAATTTGTGGAAGCCAATTAGAACAAATGGTTCTAATTTGACTATATTTACTCAAAATACAAAATCAGAAGGAAAAAGCAATAGTTCTCTTGCCCTATGTCTGTAGCAGCCATATTTGTGTGCATGTATGTAAGAATTTTGACATCTACCATATTTATAAGTGATCATATTATACAAACAAGCTCAACTGTGATCCAGAAGGGTGGTACTATTGATTGAAGATGTGCAAAGGGGACAAAATTTACACTCCATTTTTGACAAAGACTCAACAAAATACCTAAGAGAATAGGGATTCTAATTCTTTTCCTGAGTGTACAATAATAATGAGTATATTTATTTTGTTCCTTAGAACCAGGATGACTTAGGATGACCCAAACTTCTATCATTATGTGGTATTTTAAGTTTAAGCTGTGAATTTTTTTCTTAATATAAAGAAAAAGAAACATCAGTAACCTTGTAAATCACCATGAGGTACATGTCTTAAGACAGTTAAAAACCAGTTAACTGGGGCAGAAAGATCTTACTTCTGTTATATATAACTGAATGTTATTAAAACACATTGTGCTTTTTTTGGGCTCCAAACATGCCATTTATATCTTTAGATCATATTTTATAGTATGAGTATTTGTGCTCATATTTAACTTGTGCTTAGAAATGCCTATTTATAAAGGAACAAACATCTGAGTGGCTTCTCTGAATGATGTAGTTATTCTTAGATACATAAATCTATATTCCTGGTGGCTTGATAAACCTCTGAAGCTATATAGATTGTGCATGTGTGCGTGTGTGTGTGTGTGTGTGTGTGTGTATGTACATTTTTAGAAAGAGGGTATAGATTCAATCAGATCTAAAAAAGATTAAGAATCATTATTCTGAAACTTCAATTCCCTGGGAACTAGGTATCAGTGAGAAAGTCCCAACAAATCAACAGTACTCCTTGGAAGAAAAATGACCCATGCTATTGCTGCAGCCATCCAGAGCAAAAGCAGCATCATTCAGCGCTGGTTTTTACCATAAGATGCTGCCACAGGAACAAATTGTACCATTTTGCAGGCTGTGAAGCAACCGATAGAGAGTTAGGATTTCCTACCCAGAATTAAAGATTCCAAGAAACATATACACAAACTTTAGTATGATCACTCTATAATTGTTTATCTGTGTGTGTGATATTCAATCCTGGAGGGGAGAGAGGTAGCAAGGAGGAAAGAGGGGGAAAAAATTGAAAGAAACCAATAGCCAATGGGCAAGAGACTTCAAATTCCCAGAACTCCTTTTTGAACATTTTATTTATTTTAACTTTATTTAAAAGGGAGGGAGAGAGATGGGGAGGGGGGGGAGGAGGAGGGAGAAGGAGAGGGAGAATATGAATCTTCCATCTGCTAGTTCACTCCCCATATGCTTGCAACAGCCAGGGATGGGCCAGACAAAAGCTATAAGCCTGGAACTCAATCAAGGTCTCCCACATGAGTAGCAGGGACCCAAGTACTTGAGTCATCATCTGCTGCCTCCTAGGTTGCACATTACCAGGAAGCTAGAGGAGCTGTGACTTGAACCAAGCACTCCAACATAAGATGTGAGCAACCCAAGCAGCATCCTAACTGCTGTGTCATATGCCCTCTCCTCCCTAAATCCTTTAAAGGATAGCTTTAAATAATAAATATTTGTGGAACTTAATTAAGAAGGAAAGAGAAAAAATGATAATGAAGAAAAACATTGGAATAATAAAAATACAGAGTAAAATGGATACGCTGTTATGTATACCTTGATAGTTGATTGATCAGGCAAAGAAAACAGAATTACTATAATTATACTGAGATGATGCAGATATTACATATGCAAAAGTTTATGTATATATGTATAGAAAGCTTACACAGAGTTTATTTTAAAAATATCTCATGACTTCCTAATATACTAGAAGAGAAAATATCATTTAATTTTTTAAATCATGAATTGTCTCCAATCTTCGATTACCATAATCATTATTTAAAATACCAAGGCAATTACCAAAAAATATCTTGGATAATCAATGATATTTGGGAGGCATGCGTTTGTTGTGGAAGTTAAGATGTTGTTTGGACACCAGCATCTCATTTTGAAGAGTCTGGATTCAGGTCCTGGCCCTGCTTTCATTCTAGCTTCCTTCTAATGTGCACTCTAGGAGGTAGATGGTTATGGCTCAAGTACCCGGGTGCCTTCAACCCATATGAAAAACCTGTTAGGAATCTGGAAAACATTATGCTGAGTGAAATAAGCCAGTCCCAAAGGGACAAATATCATATGTTCTCCCTGATCAGTGACAACTAACCAAGCACCAAAAAGGAAACCTGTTAAAGTGAAATGAACACTATGAGAAACGGTGACTTGATCAGCCCTTGCCCTGACTGTTGATGAACAACTTAATACATTATCCCTCTTAGTATTTGCTTGTTTGTTTGTTCTACTTAATACTTTTGGTTGAATTCTGTAATCAATACACAGTTATTCTTAAGTGTTGAGACTAAACTGAAAAGTGATCCCTGTTAAATATAAGAGTGGGAATAAGAGAGGGAGAAGATGTATAATTTGGGACATGCTCAATCTAACTTGCCCCAAACAGTAGAGTTAGAAAGGTACCAGGGGATTCCAATTCAATCCCATCAAGGTGGCATGTACCAATGCCATCTCAGATCAGCCAGATCTGACTAGTGAGATGGCATTGGTACATGCCACCTTGATGGGATTGAATTGGAGTCCCCTGGCACATTTCTAACTCTACTGTTTGGGGCAAGTCAGCTTGAGCATGTCCCAAATTGTACATCTTCTCCCTCTCTTATTCCCAAACTTATATTTAACAAGGATCACTTTTCAGTTAAATTTAAAGACCTAAGAATAACTGTGTGTTAATTAAAGAGTTCAACCAATGGTATTAAGTAGAACAAAAAATACTAAAAGGGATAAAGTATTAAGTTGTTCATCAACATTCAGGACAAGGGCTGTTCAAGTCACTGTTTCTCATAGTGTCCATTTCAGTTCAACAGGTTTCCTTTTTGGTGCTTGGTAGGTTGTTATTAATCAGGGAGAACATATGGTATTTTTCCCTTTGTGGCTGGCTTATTTCACTCAGCATGATGTTTTCCAGATTCCTCCATTTTGTTGTAAATGACAGGATTTCTTTGTTTTTTTTTTTTTTTTTTACTGCTATATAGTATTCTATAGAGTACATGTCCCATAATTTCAGTCAGGAAAGTGAAGAGGCAACCGACAGAATGGGAAAAAATATTTGCAAACTATGCAACAGATAAAGCCTTAATAACCAATCTACAAAGAGATCAAGAAGCTCCACAAAAACAAAATGAACAACCCACTTAAGGGATGGGTCAAGGACCTCAGTAGACATTTTTCAAAAGAGGAAATCCAAATGGCCAACAGACACATGAAAAAATGTTCAAGATCACTAGTCATCAGGGAAATGCAAATCAAAACCACAATGAGGTTTCACCTCACCTGGGTTAGAATGGCTCACATACAGAAATCTACCAACAAATGATGCTGGCAAGATGTGGGGAAAAAGGGACACTAACCCTCTGTTGGTGGGAATGCAAACTGGTAAAGCCACTAGTGAAGTCAGTCTGGAGATTCTTCAGAAACCTGAATATAACCCTACCATACAACCCAGCCATCCCACTCCTTGGAATTTACCCAAAGGAAATCAAATCGGCAAACAAAAAAGCTGTATGCACCTAAATGTTTATTGCAGCTCAATTCACAATAGCTAAGACCTGGAATCAACCCAAATGACCATCAACAGTAGACTGGTTAAAGAAACTATTTCTTTGTGTTCTTAAGGAGGATGAAGACATAATTTTGAACACATGCCAATTTTTGTACTACTGTATTAAATAGGGCAGGTGAAGCTCTACTATGGGGAGCATTTAAATTTCAAAAATAAAAACTTTAGGTTCTCTATGCAGAAATACAAAAAGATGAATATCTTCTATGGTATTAAATTGATACCAAAACTGTTGGTTAGAATCGTGGGAAACTGCAGTCTCTAAATACATGCTCCAAATCCCATTTCATATGTATGTGATGCTATCTACTGTGGCCCCCTGAATGAACTCCACTAGCTCACCTAAATATATCAGCAAGCAAATGAAGTTAATAAATATCTTGCTCACTCAGTTCTGAAGTAGAGACCTCTAAAAATTTACCATACTGCTACACTCACCAATAAGAAAACAAATGAATTCAGTACAGTTTTACTAAACATTGTCTTCAATTAGCCTAGAAAAGTTCAGTTGGTTTGTTTATTGATGGGTACAAGGAAGCCAGACATTAAATATATCAAAAGTAATCAGAAAGAGGGAGAGACAGAGAGAAAAAAAAATATTCCATCTTCTGGTTCATTTCCCAAATGTCTGCAACAGCTGGGACTGGGCCAAGACAAAGCCAGAAGCCTGGAATTCCATTTGGTTCTTCCACATGGATTGCAGGGGCCCAAGCACTTGATTCATTCCCAGCTGCCCTAACAGGCACATTAGCAGGCAGCTGAACAGAAAGTGGAACAGACTGAGCTTAAACCAGGACTGTGTTATGTATAATATGCTGACATCACAGGCAGTGACTTTACCCTCTGTGCCATCACACAGGCCTCCACACACACACACAAAATTTAACAAATTCAAAAGATCAAAATCATATCTCATGTTGTATTTTTACCACAACAGTATGAAACTAGAAGTCAATAGCAAAAGGAATTTTGAGAAATTCACTAATAACTAGAAATTAAACAAGATGCTCCTGAGTAATCAATGGGTCAAAAAATAAAATGGTAATTTAAAAAATAAAATGTCTTGAATAAATGACAATGTAAAGACAACATATCAAAACTCACGGGATACAGCCAATGTAGGTCCATGAGGAAAATTCATAACAATATATACCTACATTAAAAAGGAAAAAAGATCCTCAATTAATAGTCTAACACATGCTTCAAGAAGCAAACACATCCAAAATTAACCAAAGATTAGCAAAAGGATGGAAAAATATAGATCAGAAAAAAAAATAAATGAAATTGAGAACAGAAAAAACACATGAAGTAAATAAAATCAAGAGTTACTGCTCTGAAAAAGTAACCCAACATAGCCCTTAATAGATTAAGAAAAAGAGAGAAGAATCCAATCAAATCAGAATTGAAAGTAAAAACTTTACAACAGATGCCTTAGAAATAAAAATCATAAGGGGCTATTATGAACAAGTTTAAGCCAACAAATTGGATAGCCTAGCAGGAGTGGTAAACATCCCGCCCATGGGCCTAATGAGAGACGTAAAATCATTTGGTCTGACCCTGCCAAGGCAGCCTCAGGTGGAATTCAAAATTCAAAAAATCTACAGGTGCCTAATTTTTAAGTTGAAAATTTTGTATGGTCTGTGAATGACATCATATATATCCAAATGGCCCTTGGCAGGGAAAAGGTTTCCTATGCTTGGTAGAGGAAAAGGATAAGTTCCTATATAATCTAATAAAATTGAATCATGAAATAGAAAGCTCTAACAGATCATTAACAAAGAGATTGAAGAAGAAATAATTTAAAACTTCCAAAAAAGAAATGTCCAGAACTAGATGGCTTCACAACTGAATCTTGCATAAGTTGTGTTTTTTTTTTTTTTTTTTTTTTTGGACAGGCAGAGTGGACAGAGAGAGAGAGAAACAGAGGGAAAGGTCTTCCTTTGCCGTTGGTTCACCCTCCAATGGCCGCCACGGCCAGCGCGCTGCGGCCGGCACACCGCGCTGATCCAATGGCAGGAGCCAGGTGCTCATCCTGGTCTCCCATGGGGTGCAGGGCCCAAGCACTTGGGTCATCCTCCACTGCACTCCCTGGCCACAGCACAGAGCTGGCCTGGAAGAGGGGCAACCGGGAAAGAATCTGGCGCCCCGACCGGGACTAGAACCCGGTGTGCCGGCGCCGCAAGGCAGAGGATTAGCCTAGTGAGCTACGGCACCGGCGCATAAGGTTCTTAAAATAGTACTTTTTTTTTTTTTAAGGTCAGAGAGAAAGAGAGGGAGACACAAAGAGAGAGATCTTCTATCCATTGATTCACTCTCTGAATGGCTGCAATGACCAGGGCTGGGCCAGTTTCATCCCACTCTCCCACACAGGTAGCACCTGAGCCTTCTTCCACTGCTTTTCCAAGGCCATTAGCAGAGAGCTGGATCAAAAGTGGAACAGGCTTTACACTATGCCACAATATCAGACCCTAAAATAGTATACTTAAAAAAGTAATATTGTAGAGTGACTAAAGAGTAAGCTTTATAATTAGACTATCTGTATTCAGAATCCCAATGCCAAAGTCTAATCGGCAGAATAATAAGCCAGTTTATATAGTTCTACTTTATAAACTTCACATAACCTTTTTATTCAACTATATAAAACTAATTGAAATATATATATATTATTTTTTCAAAGGATCTTCTGTGGTTTCATGAATGCTAAAAAGGGCTAAATTCCAGAGTAGTAGCCTCTTATTTACAATTAATGTAAGTCATCATTGAACATTGTACAGTCTTTTGTGGAAATCTAGAAAATACATGTGAATTAAAACTATATGACACAGTGGTGGGGGGCTGCTGTGGCATAGCGGGTAAGGCCACCGCCTACAGTGCCAGCATCCCATTTGTGCCCTGGGTCAAGTTCTGGATGCTCCACTTCCAATCCAGCTCTCTGCTAAGACAGTGGAAGATGGCCCAAGTCCTTGGGTCTCTGCACCTGCGTGGGAGACCTGGAAGAAGCTCCTGGCTCCTAGTTTCACATCCGCACAGCTCCAGCTGTAGCAGCCAACTAGGGAATAAACAGGTGGATGGAAGAACTCTCTCTCTCTCTGCCTCCCCTTCCCTCTCTGTGTAACTTTGACCTTCAAATAAATAAATAAATCTTTAATATACATATATGACACAATAAATTTAGTAAATTTATGGTAACGATCACTAGAAAATAAGCAAGAATTAATTTTTAAAAAATTATTTATTTATTTGAGAGCCAGAGTGAAAACAGAAAGGGAGAAACAGAGATGTCTTCCATCTGCTGGCTCACTCCCCAAATGGCCACAATGGCAAGGGCTGGGCCAGGCTGAAGCCAGAAGCCAGGAACTTCCCCCAGTTCTCCCTTGTGGGTGCAGGAGTCAAGCACTTGGGCCATCTTCCACTGATTTCCCAGGTACCTTAGCAGGGAGCTGGCTTGGAAGTGGACCAGTCGGGACTCGAAGGATCACCCATATGGTATGCTAGCACCGCAGGTGGAGGCTCAACCTACTATAACACAGTCTCAGCCCTCAAAACTAATTTTATAAAGCCAACACAGTTGAGAATTTGAGAATTTCTTATGTATTGTTTAATCTTATTTCATGGAAGCTGTGGTACAGAGAAGTTAACTTGCTCAAGTTTGTATTTAACTAGTACTACAAAGGCACACAAAGCCTTACATAAAATTTAGTCATGAAGCTCTTGCATCCTTCATTACTTCCTCACCTTTATCCCCAAAGATATCGATTAGTATTTGAGCTAAGGCCCAAGGGTCCGCATTTTTAAGAAAGTCTTCATATAATTATTATTCTCTATACTACACTGTAAAAACCACTATACCATGAGCCAACGCTATGGCACAGAGGGTAAGGCTGCCACCTGAGGCTCTGGCATCCCATATGGGTGCTGGTTCAAGTCATGGCTGCTCCACTTTCAATCCGTCTCCCTGCTGGTGTGCCTGGGAAAGCAGCAGAAGATGCTCAAATGCTTAGGCCCCTGCACCAATGTGGGGGGCCCAGATGAAGCCCCAGGCTCCTGGTTTGGCCTGGCCAGCCCTGGCTGTTGCAGCCATATGGAGAGTGAACCAGCAGATAGAAGATCTCTCTCTCTACAATTCTAACATACAAATAAAATGAGTATATCTTTTTAAAAAAGTTAGTACACCATATGATCTTCATCTTCTGATTCTTATATTCTATTTTTCTCAATATTCTGGTCACTATACATTTAAAGGTATCCTAGAACTTGTAGGAATCTTATGTAAACCAGTTTATGGAGCCAGCTTATCCAGCCAACTAGCACACTGCCAACCTGGGGCACTGTTTATATCTAATTGGACACTCTCAACTCAACATAAGGATTTTACATCTGTAACAGCCACTTGCATAATTTTGGACCTATAGTAGATGCTGCTGCTTGAGTGTGTCTCAAGGCAGGAAACTGCCATGAAATTAGAGGAAAGGCTACAGTTTCTGATCTTCATCAAAATAGGCAATGGGGGGGCATAAGCTGCCCCTAAAGGAATGTGGCAGCCTAGACAGCAGGGGGCTGAATGGATGTTAATTGCAGGAGCATTTGAATGGACCTGTCTTTGAAGATTTACACCACAGTTCTGTTCCCAGTCATGGATCACCAGACTGGATTCCTTTCCCACCTAAAGTTGTACATCAACTGTGCCTATGTGCCAGCTAGCTTGTAGACTTGCTGATACCCTCTAATAGAAAGTGCTGGCCAAAGCAATCCAGGGCACACTCTTCAGGTGAAGATGTCCATGATCTGTCTCACTCATTTATGAAACCCCACACTAGAGCCTTCTAGAAAAATAATTTTATTGAAATATCATTAGAGGGGTTGGCACTGCGTTGCAGTGGGTTAAAGCCCTGGCATGCAGGGCAGGCATCCCACATGGGTGCCCATTCGAGTCTTGGCTGCTCCACTTCTGATCCAGCTCTGTGCTATGGCCTGGAAAAGCAGAAGATGGCCCACGTCCTTGGGTCCCTGTACCTGTGTGGGAGACCCAGAAGAAGCTCCTGGCTACTGGCTTTGGATTAGCTCAGCTCTGGCTATTGGGGCCATTTGGGGAGTGAACCATCAGACGGAAGACCTCTCTCTCTCTCTCTCTCTGTATGGCTCTATCTCTATTTGTAACTCTGTCTTTCAAATAAATAAAAATAAACCTTTTAAAAAAAAGAAATATCATTAGAAAAGTTATGCTCTGTATAAAAGCAATATAACTTGTAGTATATTTTAAAAGTTCATATAAATTAAACAAAGCCTTTGGTTAAAAATATTCTATATTTTTACAAGTTATAATGTTACCACTTGTTATCTCTGGGGATTGGTTCCATAACCAGGCAAGGATACCCAAACATATGGATATCCTTATATAAAATTGTTATTTTTGCATATAACTTATATCTTCTCATGTACTTTAGATCATCTCTAGATTACTTATAATATCTAATACAATATAAATAGTCATTATACTGCATTATTTAGGGAATAATATCAAGAAAAACATCTACATGTTTAGTATAGCTGTAGTTTTTTTAAAGATTTATTTATTCATTTAGCTGGTGCCGCGGCTCACTAGGCTAATCCTCTGCCTAGCGGCGCCGGCACACCGGGTTCTAGTCCCGGTCGGGGCGCCGGATTCTGTCCCGGTTGCCCCTCTTCCAGGCCAGCCCTCTGCTGTGGCCAGGGAGTGCAGTGGAGGATGGCCCAGGTGCTTGGGCCCTGCACCCCATGGGAGACCAGGAAAAGCACCTGGCTCCTGGCTCCTGCCATCGGATCAGCGTGGTGCGCCGGCCGCAGCGCGCCGGCCGCGGTGGCCATTGGAGGGTGAACCAACGGCAAAGGAAGACCTTTCTCTCTGTCTCTCTCTCTCACTGTCCACTCTGCCTGTCAAAAAAATAAAAAAATAAAAAAAATTAAAAAAAAAGATTTATTTATTCATTTGAAAATGAGAGAGAGAGAAAAGGACAGACAGAGAAAGAGAAATCTATCCATTGGTTCACTCCCCAAATGGCTCCAACTACCAGGGGTGGGCCATGCTGAAGCCAGGAGTGCAGGAGTTTCTTCTGGGTCTCCTACTTGGGTGGCAGGGGCCCAAGGACTAGGGTCATCTTCAGCTGCTTTCCCAGGTACATTAACAGGGAGTTGGATAGGAAGTAGGGCAGCCAGTCCTTGAACTGGTGCACATATGGGATACTGGAACTACAGGTGGCAGCTTAACCTACTGTGCTACAGCACCGGCTTCACCTCTGTAATTTTTTTTTTTTTTTTTTTGGACAGGCTGAGTGGACAGTGAGAGAGAGAGACAGAGAAAAGTTCTTCCTTTTGCCGTTGGTTGGTTCACTCTTCAATGGCCGCCGCGGCCAGCGCACTGCGCTGATCCGTAGGCAGGAGCCTGGTGCTTATCCTGGTCTCCCATACGGGGGCAGGGCCCAAGCACTTGGGTCATCCTCCACTGCACTCCCTGGCCACAGCAGAGAGCTGGACTGGAAGAGGGGCAACCGGGACAGAATCCGGCGCCCCGACCGGGACTAGAACCCGGTGTGCCGGCTCCACAAGGCAGAGGATTAGCCTACTGAGCCGCAGCACTGGCCTCACCTCTGTAATTTTTAAAAACTATTTTTGACCCTCATTTTATTCAATCTACAGATACACAACCTGCACAGACAAAGCACTGCCTGTACTTAATGTAATGATTTATTGTTTTATTTAATGTAACTACATTCAATTTGAATTACTTGACCCCCAGCAGAGTCATCAATAAGCACTATCACTGAGTAATGCTGTAATATAAAAAACTATTTAAACTATAGCAAATTCTTTAAGCCCAATACTATTAGCTTGTATATCAAAGCCCTGCATCTGGGTTTATTTCACAGGAAGTCTCAAAACAAATTCAAACTTATGTTTTTTGCCTTTACAACATCTAGAAAGATACTACATTAAATATGCATTAAATAGAAAATTGTTTTCCTTACTAAAAATGTTACAGATAAAAAATATAAGTAATGTGAATAAATATTTGAAGTATAAAGATTTAATTATTCATATGATTATACTTCTAACCATATCTTGTTTATTCTCATTTATAGAGAAATTAATACACATATATTTAACTTACCTCTGTTGTTTGTAGACTGGGATCTATTTCTCTAGTAACTACTCTCCCTAGAAGAAATAAGAAAGAGAAAAACATGTTACACTGGTCAACTGATCTGAATATGTTCAAAAGTATGCAGAGGGACTGGTGCTGTGGCATAGTGGGTAAAGTCACCACCTGCAGTGCTAGCATCTCATATGGGCACCAGTTTGAGTTTCGGCTGCTCCACTTCTGATCAAGCTCTCAGCTATGTTCTGGGAAAGCAGTAAAAGATGGCACAAGCCTTTAGGCCCCTTGCCCACATGGGAGACATGGAAGAAACTCCTGGCTCCTGGCTTCGGATTGGCACAGTTCTGACTGTTGTGGGCCATTTGGAGATTGAACCAGTTGATGAAAGACTTTCTCTCTTTCTCTCCCTCTGACTCTGCATCTCTGTAACTCTGACTTTCAAATAAATAAATAAATCTTAACAAAAAAAAGTTTGCCAAAGGTGAAAACAAAAATTGAGCAATGATAAAAAAGAAAGCTCAAAGGAAAATACTGGAAGAAAATGTAGATTTTTCTGGAACTAAACTGTTCCAAACAGCCTCCAACAGAAGTCTCATTAAAAACTGTTTAGAAGAATAGTAAGATAAGGATATGTAGGAAAAATATCACCCAGTAAGAAATAAACTCAACTCTCATCAGTACAGTTCTCAATCCATACCTACCAAACTGCCGAGACAAAGACATCCAACAGTGCTGTTCAATGATATCTCTTAGTTATCACTATATGAGTTTTCATATTCTCTTTGACTTGTTTTCCCGGAATTGAACCAGACTGGTTGCAAGTAAAACAGTACCAGAACACGACCATTTTCGAAATAGGCCAAATTACTACTCACCCCCCAGATAGAGTCACCATGGTTAGGTGAACCATTAGGACTCAAATAAGTTTCTGACTGTAAAAAAGGTAACAGAGAATTTAAATACTTATTCCCAAGTAATTCCAACTTGGAAAAATACTGAGAAATATTTGTCAATATTTCCATAAAATGCTTTTGAAGAAAATATCACAAGGGAAATCAAATAAAATATTACTACCACTTAAAAATCATTCCAAAGTAACAGTAATTCTGTAAGAGTTGGGATATATTCTGAAAACACAGAAATTTATAAATCAGTCATTTGTACATCTTTTCATAATCCAAGAAACACAATTCATTCCACAAAACAATATTTAATATATGTTAAATGAAATTAATTGTACCTAGTTCACAATAGTACAATTCTTTTTCACAGATGATGCTAATCACTCAGCTATTCTTCCTAGTCATTAAGTCCATCACATAAATGAAACTATTATATGTGGATAAACTCCAAAGCTTCCTACCAAGCAGCATAGTTATTAACTACTCATTTGTTAAAATAAGGCTATGTGAAAATAATCATTGATTTGTAAGAAACAGTTACTTCACGTAAACTGTATTTTACTTTTAAAAGTAGAGGCAGGGGCCAGCACCGTGGCTCACTTGGTTAATCCTCCGCCTGTGGCGCCGGCATCCCATATGGGCACCAGTTCTAGCCCCGGTGCTCCTCTTCCACTCCAGCTCTCCTCTGTGGCCCAGGAAGGCAGTGTAGGATGGCCCAAGTGCTTAGGCCCCTGCACCCACAAGGAAGACCAGGAAGAAGCAAGCACCTGGCTCCTGGTTTCGGATTGGCGCAGTGCTGGCCGTAGTGGCTATTTGGGGAGTTAACCAATGGAAGGAAGACTTTTCTCTCTGTCTCTCTCTCTCACTGTCTGCAACTCTACCTGTCAAATAAAAAAAAGTAGATGCATGGTTCATATCTTTGATAACAAAAGACAGGGATCATTCATGATGTAAAATCTTTGTCTTTGACAGACTATGTTAATTCTTTCAAATTAATTAAAACCAGCCTACCTCTCCAGCTTCACTCTCTTGCCCTCTTAAATCCAGCCCACCAGTCTTCTTTTAATCCCGTATGCTTTCCTTCAGATTCCTCTCTGAAGTGCCTTAGCTCCTAATTATTCCTCTGCAAGGAATGTATAACTTATTCCCTGCCACTCCCCTCCCCCAACCTACCCCAGGGTAATTCTTCACCACATCCTTCAGCTATAAGTTTGAAAGTCACATTCTCATCAGAAAAGCCTTCTCTCACCTATCTTTTTCAAATCACCTAATATATGTCTACTCGATGGCATTTCTCACAGTTTCAATTTAAATGATTTTGTGTGCTTTTTTATTTATATTTTTTACTGCCCCAAAGAGTGAAAGTTCCTGAAAGGTGGGCATAATATCTGATTTTGTTCTCTATAGCACAGTGATTGGCAAATGAATGTTGCCTGATAAATGTTCATAGAAAAAAAAAAAAAAAGGAACAAGCAGGCCAGTAAGAGAAGTGTTTCTTCTATTGCCTTTGTTGCCAACGATGAGACAAAACATGTTGAGAACTACACATGTGCCAGGCACTGTAGTCAGTTTCTTACAGAATCTGTTATGTACATGTAATGAAAGTTACATTGGCAAATGACAATCTTTTTCAGGAGTCAGTATTTCAATATGTACAGTGATGAAATTAACTAGAACAGATGTCTCAAATTTGAATGTCCACAGCGGGCTAGAAGACTACTCAAGTGAACTGCATACATTTAGCGAACGTTAAGAACACAGTGAAGACATGACAGCTCTAGATGATAACCACCATGCAACAGGGCCCCAGACTCTACAGAGCTCAAGATTTTTCAAGATAACTTTCTGTTTGGTTTTTAATGTAATCCAATCTTTAAATATGTAATGTAATTTAATGTAATCCAATCTTTAAATACGAGAATGTTTTTTGAAAATATTTATGAATCCCAAAATAAATTCATTTCTATCAGACTCAGATGTCAGGAAACTCCAATGAAATCTGAATACAAAGTCTCGTAAAGTGTGATAGTTGATTTTATAGCATCAACTTGAATGGATTAAGGAATACTCAGTTCAGAAAAAGGGAGACCCTTATTTTGAATGTGTCTATGAGGATGTATACAAATGGGATGAGCGTGTGAATCTGAGCGGACTAGGTGGGCAGATTTTGCTTTGGGGAAAGCAAGCACCAACAACTGGCTAGGGATCTGGAGGAACCAGGTGCAGAAGATGCACTGTTACCTTCTCTGAGAGCTATGACTTGCCTGACTCCTGCCTTGGACATCAGTTTCTGATCCTTGTAGTCCAGGACCTTATGCCAGCAGTCCCCTTGCTGGCACTTGGGCTTGGGCCTCAAACTGAGAGAACTACACCCACTGCTTTGGGACTGGAACTGAGCCATGCTACTGACATTCCAGGGTCTCCAGCCTGCAGTTAAGCTGCCCTGGGACTTCTCTTTTGCCATAAATAAATCTCCCTTCATATATCTCTATTCATATCTTATCAATTCTGTGTTTTCTTGAGAACCTTGACTAATACATAAAGTTTCAACCAGCTCTGACTCTATGAGATTTATTCCTTAAAAGAGTTTGCTATTCTGCATTTCATGTGGGAATTTTGATAGCACAATTTCTCTAAAAGGCTCAAGCCAAAGGCAGCTTCTCTTGTGACTTCTTTTGAGTCCCCCGATATAATACCAATGATTTGTGTCAAGCACATTTCAGTTCTTACAAAAGCTACTTGAAGGTGCACCCTGGCTGGCGCAGTGGCTCAATAGGCTAATCCTACACCTGCGGCGCCGGCACACCAGGTTCTAGTCCCAGTCGGGGCGCCGGATTCTATCCCGGCTGCCCCTCTTCCAGTCAAGCTTTTTGCTGTGGCCCGGGAGTGCAGTGGAGGATGGCCCAAGTCCTTGGGCCCTGCACCCACATGGGAGACCAGGAGGAGCACCTGGCTCCTGGCTTCGGATCAGTGGCAGTGCGCTGGCCGCAGCACACCGGCTGCGGCGGCCATTAGAGGGTGAACCAATGGTAAAGGAAGACCTTTCTCTCTGTCTCTCTCTCATTGTCCATTCTGCCTGTCAAAAAATAAAAATAAATAAATAAAAAAAGGTGTACCCTCTATTTTACATAGGACAAAACTGCTCATGCCCTCCTTAATGAAAAAAAAAAAACCAGTTCTTGGTTGAGGTAAGTTGAATTAGCCTAACTGGGTCCCCAAAAAAGACATTTTTTTCTTCTTGCTACAAGTTACCAAAATAATACATGCAGATTTTTTGATACTCCCTGTCACTGATTCCATGGCAAAGCTATATAAGCTCATTAAAGCTCTAAGTGATGGCTGTAAATTTCCCTAGAGAAAGGGAGAGGAAGTCATAATGATGATACACAGAACTGCATGAAATAAGGCAACAAGCAGCAAGATGAATATTTCCAGTTAGTATAACACCTTCCGGGTTGATTGTCTTTAATTAGCAAGCACTGCAACATTATATTTACTAGAGAAAAATACACTGACTGATAGCTCTTTTTATGTTTGTCTTTGATAGAATACCATTAACTAACATCGTCATTCCATTACTCTGGATGCCAAGAACACCACCACATCAACATAAAGCTAAGATGCAGGTACTGTTTTGTGAAACTTCCATATTAAGCGATGCTTTTTAAAAACTTTCTCTTTTTTCTCCCAGTATCACATTAAGTTGGGACTTCCTATGGTTTTGGTGTAGCTGTCACCTAGGATTCTACTGCAATTGGAGGTTTGATCCCTAGGATGGTGGTGTTGGAAGCTGAGGAAAGCTATGAGAGGTGAGGTCTAGTGGGAGGTCCTTAGGTCACTGAGGATGTGAGGCAATTTTTTGGTGGCCCCTTGGTAAAACCCTTCAGTTCTAATTGAGAAGGTTGTTGAAATTTAAGATAGAAAGGACCAAGATGACCCTCCCCTCTCTAAATTTCTGGTTCCCCCATGCAAGTTTCCATCACGGTCATGTACCACCAGAAGTAATATACACCAGAATTACACCAAAAGAGGCACCAAACAATGCCCTTGAACCTTCAAAACTGGGAGCTAAGTTCTTCTTTTTCTTTGCAAGTAGCTTATTTGACATTTCATTAATTTTCATTATGATAAAAAAGCTGATTTTCTAGTCATTGAAA